AGAGGGTTTGCAGCCACTTCTCTCCTCCCCTGCATAGTCCATCTCCTTTCACTCATGGGAACTGCATGTGCTCAATGTTAATAATAGATGTGCCTTATAGCAAGCTGGCTTTTGGGACTTTGCAGAGCCAGCTGTCAGATGCTACCTGAGCACAATGAGCAAGGGGCATCGTCCCTTCACACAGTCACAGCTTCAGCAGGTTTTGAAGGGCATGAGCGTCAAGGTATCTCTGACCAGAGTGTGTCACACAACACAGTGCTACACTGCCTGCTGAGCTGCCCCCAGGGCCACTTTGCAAGCTTCTTCTGGGTCCAGCCACTTAACTCTGCCTGCAAACTCCGTCATAGTCTGTTAGGAACCTAGCCATGGCCATGAAATTCCATGGCTCTGAACCACTGCTGCATGAGGGAGTGACGGCTGTTTACGAACGGTGGACGTTTCCTTGACTGAACCAAAATGAAAATGTGCATCAAGAGTCTAAGGAAGAAATGACTTCTTTAGGGATATCTCACGTCAACTTGTCTGTATTTGGACAGGCTGTTTTCACAAGTAGGTTAGGTGACTGCCCTGTTCTCCGAATCTGCAGCATGTATTCTTTATTTTGTGTGAGAAGCACAGTCTCAATACGTTACAGTTGTTTGTGCCCATAGACTTGGTACAGCTGTTAACAGCTGTATCCCATGCATGGCTCTGATGATGGACAGAAATAATTGCCAGTTAAAGGCTATTTTAAATGGTTTATCGTATCACTGACAATGGTTACCAGATCCACTGCTGGCTGGATGCGATGGGCTAGATTATGGCATTGACACTCCCACTGTCCTAGGAAAGGAGCATCGTGGAGATCCCCTGAAGCATGAGAATTTTCCCCACCTGGTGTGCATGAATTTGAACCATGAAAGGGTTAATAAGTGCTTCTTGTGCAGCCTTCACCCTGCAAGGATCATTGTGACCTGTCCTTTAATCAAGGAAACCCGTGTAGCAGGGGGCCATTTGTTAAAGGGCCCCTTACACCACGATGGGCCTTTGGCACACATTTCTCACTCTATGCCTCTGGCTGAGGCGTTCCTAGGCTAACAGAAATACAGTCCTATTACCACGGGGAAGCTACTCATCCAAATATGTATCAGTGCAGAGATATTTTGAGCCTATTTATCACTGCTATTCAGCATGAGAACAAAGGGAGGAAAAGGAAGAGAACAATCATTGTATATTGCCGTATGATTTTCCATCCACAAGGACTATCAATTGCCTGAGGTTCCATATTGGCAACATGTCTCTCTCTGCTGTTTTCCTTTTTAATGACGTGAAACCTCTGAATACCCTGATTTGGACCTATGTGCATGTCAGCTGCTTGCCTTGCCTTCCCCAGGGTAGATATTCCTTGCTGCCATTATACAACAACTCCAGTCAAGGACCCTGCAGACCTACACACCCATCGGCTAGGCTAATCAGGCGTAGAGAGCTGAAAAACACATGCTGTCCACACATTGTTTAAAAAACATGTGCCCGATCTATGGCCATTCACTTGCACAGCGAAAGGACTAAAACTTCGCCGAAAACTCTTTTTATTAATAGGAGAAAACCTGCCTTGAGTCAAGGGTGGTGAAGCAGGCAAAAGGGATGTCCCAGCTGCCCCGAGCGATCTGCTGTTATCAATGCTCTGCATTGCATTATTTTAAAGGCAAGACTGTCATCTCCTATTACGTTAGCAGCCTTCAGAAAGTTATGTTAATTTCACAGATGACAGCCCCTCCCCCCTGTAAATATACAAACTGGGCAAAACTCCAGGCACAACCCTTTCCTGGCCAGTGCCGGGAGCTGAAAGGGACTAAACATTTCCCACGAACAATAAATGGTTCGAGTGTCACACTATGAGGAAGGGAACAGGGAAAGAGAATAACGTATCAGGGGTTAATGAAGGTCCTAAACATACATTAAAGCCATGCATAAAAAGAATTCTAGCTGCTCCTTATAAACGTCATAAAGGAATATAGCTTGGAAAGGCCCTAATTCTCAGCCCATCAACCTGCCAGAATAGCTGGGCTGGGTTCTGGGTAGCGCCAAAGGGCTGGGGGAAAGAAACAACCCCCTTCCCTTCCCTGCTGCAGCAGCGTGCCCCCTGGGCAGGGTAGGAAGGTCTATGCTGCGTATCATCCAATAGCACGGCCCCATGTGCATTGCTACATGGCAGCCGCTGCTCCGCGGATGTCCATGCCACAGGGCTGCGTACGCCTCCCTCTTTAGATCACTCCCTTCCCACGTAGCAGAACGGTGTTGGCTCCACTTTGCCAGGCAATGCTCTGCATAGCCATGGTGGAGACAGTGGGCAGGATTTCCCCCTCAAAGATTAGGTTTGCCCACTGTCGTTCAGCTTACCATCCACGATCTGCTCCCTCCAGTTAGTTACCCTGAGGGGTTCACGAGTGAAATGTGAGGCTGGGATAACACAAACAATGGGAGGCTTTAAGTTCTGTTAGAAACAATATTTACATTGACCGAACCCAGAAAACGCATCGTGTTCCGATGCAGTTTTCAGTCCTCTTCAGAGCACAGCTTAGTAAGGGGCAAAGAGACCATAAATCCAAGGAAGAGCCTGCCATTTAAACAACATTTACCAAGACAGTGTGAAATGATGCAGCGCTGTATTTCCCTGTACTTATTATAGGAGATAGCTGTGGGCACTCAGACCCTGTGGGCAAATGTTGAGTTTTTATCTAGTTCCTGGTCTGGTCAATGTAGCTGGCTGGTACAGTATGAGTTCTGGGATGTTTCCAATCTCTGCAGGAGATATGGTAATTGCATTATTGCACAGATGTGCCGAGTCCTGCACTGTAAACCTGGAACTTACTTCACTCCTTCATAAAACTCAGTATTGAGGGGACTTCTCCTGTATGGCAGGACAATTATGTAACTCAATATGGCAAGTTCACTGCACAGATGTTTAGGAGGCCTGAGAACCTGAAATTTCATTCTGTCTTTTCAGACGACACACTGCGCATTGTGCATGATTCATATCTGAAGTGGCATAATAAATCTTCGCCATGCAATGCTTGACTCCTCACTGAGTGGGTGGAACTGCAGGCTGACAAATGTTTATAACATATGAACTAGTCATGTTTATTTTACACGCTAGCCAGCCCCAATGAGGATGAGGGAAGCGAATGAGATGGCTGGGTGGAGGCATGGATGTTCAGATCAAACGCTTCAGTCTGTTTTTTTTCCCCCCAAGTAAATTCAAATTTCTTTGCTACATTTGCTCAGAATTAAATACTCCATCTCAGAAACAGAGAATAAGGGGCCTGATCCAAGACCCATTAAAGTCAATGAGGGGCTTTCAATTGGTGCTGTCCTAACTGCTCTTACTGACGTCCACGGTAAATCTCATTTTGACTTCAATCAAAGCAGAGTTAGTCCAATGCTGAGCGCTTTTGAAAACCCCACCTGCACAGTATAGTACAATGTCTCTCCTGCTATTTAATAAGGCTGAGATGAAAATGTGATAGCCTCATGCAACATCTGCTCTGCAGCTAGCCAGACATTTTCAAGTCTAGGAAAACCGTGTTTTCTTGTAAAGCTATTTCTAAATTCCGCCGTGTGTTGGACATTACGTAAAGCACAACGCTGCATCACAAAGGGCTCAGTCCTTCCGGGGGCTCAGCCTGACCCAGCCAGGCACTGAGGCATGTGCTTAATTTGAAGCATGTGAGCAGTGCCATTCATTAAAGTGCTTTGCTGACTTGGGCCAGAGTGTTCAGCACCTCGAAGGACTAACCCTCAAAAGCCCAATTCTCCTGTCTACCAAACTGGAACATCTGGATGGTTTTTAAACCATTCCTATCAGGGCCGGCTCTAGGATTTTTGCCGCCCCAAGCGAAAACAATTTTGGCCGCCCCCCCCCCGTTTTTTTCTTACCCCACCCCCGGCCCCGCCTCAACTCTGCCCCTTC